ATATTAACTGTCCATAAGGTATGTGTTATTAATTACAGACGATGCAAAGGCCACTGTTCATACACGCCATGGGTTGTCATATTTTTTTCTGTAAACGTCCAGAGACTACATATTTCAGGCTTCATGTGCCAACTACTGAACACTGCTCTTGCAGCCCAAAGTAGCCACAGACAGCATACTAACAAAGGACAGTAGCGATGTTCCAATAAAACTTTATTTACAAAAAGAGGTGGCAGACCAAAGTGGGCTGTAACTTGCTGACCCCTGATACAGACTAAGCTTGAGTCAGGCTAATAAATTACTGTAATAGCAACAGAAAGTGGGACTTTAAACCTGAAAATCACCTAGAAAGTTAAAGAAAGGCTTCAGGGGATTAGCAGGGTGTGGCACTGAACAATCCAAGGAAGTGGAAAATCGAAGACAAAGGGAATAAAAGAAAGGAACCAGGGAGGTCCCCCATAAATTACCTGGGGTGCCCCCGAGGCGCTTGGGGCCAGTGGCTCTGGCCAGCCCTCCATTAAACTGCCTCTTCAAGAGGCCCAGGGCCTGTGCATGGCCAGATGCTCAGAAATGATCAAATCCGTATTGTGTCAAAGTAGAAACAGTCACTGTGTATCATTTCCAAAGTTCTTTACAAAAAGTTCCCGAGTCATTTCTGAGCTGCCCCCTCTGTGGGACCACACGGAAGCCCCCTCCGATCTGCCCTGGTGAGAAGGACACCGAGGAGTGGGACCGGATGCTGACTTCTTCTTCCCACGCTCAGAGTACAGCCATCAGAACCCATCCCCTTCTCCCTGATCCCATGGCCCCTCACTGCCAGACCACCTGATAGGACCAGAGGAGCAGGGTGCTCCTGTTCTGCTCTTGTTTTATTAGAGGTAAACAGACGCATTGATAGTTTGAATGCAGACGTAATTAATTTACATATTCATGATACTACTCTGTGGCTACTTTCCACCCCCACCAACACTTGATAAGTTACTCATTTGGTAAGAAGCCTTTTCCAGTGGAAACACATGTGCCCTTTGCTTTCGAAGAAAATGAAATAACACTAATCTTGTTTTAGAAAACAAGCATCCAGGCACGGTAGCTGCAGACTATGCCCAGAAACCAAACCAAACTCGTTGCCATTGAGTCGATTCTCACAGTGTAGAACTGCCCCATAGGATTTCCAGGGAGTGGCTGGTGGATTCAAACTGCCAACCTTTTGGTTAGCAGCTGAACTCTTAACTACTACGCCACCAGGGGCCCATATAGTTGAGCTCTGCTTAGAGTCGGAAGAGCTGGCTGGACCTTGGGTTGAGCTGGCAGTCAGGGGTGGTATTCTAATGAACACACAGGGAAGGATGACTGAGATATTTAGTCACCCTGTACCCCATTTTCAATCGTTCGCATTCATTAAAAAAAAGAAAAAAAAAACCAAACCCGTTGCCGTTGAGTCGATTCCGACTCATAGCAACCCTATAGAACAGAGTAGAACTGCCCCATAGAATTTCCAAGGAGTGCCTGATGGATTTGAACTGCCGACCTTTTGGTTAGCAGATACAGCTCTTAAAGACTACGCCACCAGGGTTTCCTGCTCATTCATGGTATGTACTAAAGAGAGAAGAGCTGTGTTTCA